TAGCGCCAACTTGTGTTTCGGATGACTCTGATTCTTGACCGCTTCCCAAAACAACGGACAGTCCATCCTGAAGTGCCCTTCTTGGTTGCAGAAGAAGCATCTTGCTCCTATTTTGGTGATCAAGCCGCTATAGAACTCGTGTTCTTCCATCTGACTCATATCTTCCTCATCAGGTGCATATCCCAAACTCTTCATGCCCTGTTTGTATGTCGTGCAATCCGCCACATGATGATCAACTGACCGGCAGTTAGCACACGACCTGCGTTTGTCCATGTCATCTCTGGGCTTGTACCATGGCGACCTCTGTGGCTGACTCCCCCCTTGGGTGTTCCTGTTGTCTGAGTACGAGTATTTCTTGGGTTTCATCAGCATGCATTCTCTTGACTTCTGCCTCATCTCTTCTGGAGTTGGCGCATTATCTTTCGACAATGTGTAATACGTTGCTAACATCGTTCTCAAGTCATCACTCTTTACCCCATCAATGAACTTTGAGGCTATGCTGAAGTTTCTTCTATTGGTAGTTTCTTCTGGGTCACTCCTTCTTCTCAAGCTCTCGAGATCATCTAGGAACCTGTCTATCGATTCGTCATCTCTCTGTCTCCTTTTTTCAAATCGCATCATCGCTTGATGACCCTTCATGCCTGAGCCGAATCTATTCAACAGTATTTCAAAGATTTTGTCGCGTTCTTCTTCTTTCTTCGCAACCACGCATTTTAATGCCGTGCCTTCTAAATTGCTGAGTATGGCTGTGCATGCTTGTCTTTCATCGTTCAAGTTGTCCTGTTCTAGGTGTATTCTCATCACTTCCACCCAAGTATCAATGCATCCATCAGAGTCATCTTTGAATTCTTTTGGCTTTTTGAATGTTTTTCTGGATTTTCCCTCTCTTCTATCATTCGAGTCAGTGTTCCTCGTGGCGAAGGCCTCTAGAGTTCTATTCATCATCTCCCAAGTGCTTGCCCATGTCATTGCATCCGGACCTGCGTTGCTGTTAGCTGTTGAGTCCCCCGGACCAGTCGTTGTACTTGACGTTCCATTCTTCATGATTGTTTTAGCAGTTGTTGGTGCTATGCTCACCGTATCCCAGGTTAAGGGCAACGGTGTCGATTGCCGTTTGTTCCTTTGTGGTTCCACAAAGTCAACTCTGGTGCCTTGCGTGCGATCCGCTGCCGGTCTTTCTTGTGAGGTAGAATTTCTCAAGATTGCATCCAATTTCGCCTGTATTGCACACGAACTTTCGGCCTGATTTTTGCTCATTGTGTCCATTCTCTTTTCCAGGCTACCTAATTGGCTGTTGACATCATCATATCGGTTTTTCAACTGTTGCATATCTTTTTTGATGTTCCTATCTCGTTCTTCATTGGTGGCTTCTACCTTATCTGTCATCTCCTTGAGTCTCTCGTCTGTTGCCTTAGCCAGGTTGAAATAACTATCCAGATACTCGTGTTTGTTGCATCTTAATTCTTTTCTTATCACTTCTCTGTCCTCTTCGCTGTGCTTCAGTTTTTTGTCGATCTGATTCAGTTTTGCCATCAAGTCACCTAGCTCAAGAGTAGCCTCTTCATGGTCAGCCGTCGGTCTGTCTTTGGCCGTAGCTTCTGCTTTAGTTTGTTCCTCTCTTGGATTTGCTTCTGTCGTCTTCGTGCTCACTGTCCCAAATGTTCGCGCTCTTTCAGCTTTTGGTTCTTCAGTCATGTTTTCTTTCGTTTTTATTCCGACCATCATCGCCAACTTTTCTTGAAGAGATGTCTTTTTTACTTGAGAGTCTTCTTTCACCGTTTCTTCGGTGTTGCCTATTGCATCTTCCACATTGTCTATTGGTGAGAACTCTATGGGTTTCGGGTTTGGTTCTTCTGCATTGGGCATTGGAGTTGACTCCGTCGCCATTTTCCTTGTTTCATCCACACTTTGATCAGGTGTCTCTAGATCAATCTCGATGGTGGGTTCTACTCGTTCCCCTTCCGTACCCTCTTTTGCTCTGTTCTCCGTTGTACTCCTTGTGCTGACCATATTAACTGAAAAGCTCTTCTTTGTTATCTTCGGACCCATCGATGTTGTTTTGCGTAGCGACGAATTATACTTTGTCTTTGCTTCGGTAGATCTTTTTTCAGCTACCGGTACCCTGCTCCGCCTCATTATTTACAATTGTTATTATTTACAGTATTATTATCTACAAAATTTCTACTCTAAGGTTAAAACTCTAAGTAAAAAGAAATTGACAATTCGCTAAAAACAATCTTTCTTAAACTCTTGAAAACTTTTATGTGTTAGGTTAGGATAGGGAATGTGTTGTTATAATTGGTTACTTCAACCTAACTTAGTACTCTTGTAGTACCCCCTTTCTAATACTGTTCCAAGACTTTCTCTCTACCGTCCCAAGACTATTCAGTGTTGTCCCAGTACTTCTTATTGGTATCCTCAGACCAATGTCCCAAGACCAACGTCCCTAGACCAACGTCCCAAGACCAACGTCCCAAGACCAAAGTTCCAAGACCAACGTCCCAAGACCAACGTCCCAAGACCAATGGCCCAAGACCAACGTCCCAAGACTAACGTCCCAAGACCAATGGCCCAAGACTAATGTCCCAAGACTAACGTCCCAAGACCAATGGCCAAAGACTAACGTCCCAAGACTAACGTCCCAAGACCAATGGCCCAAGACTAACGTCCCAAGACCAACGTCCCAAGACCAATGGCCCAAGACCAACGTCCCAAGACCAACGTCCCAAGACCAATGGCCCAAGACCAACGTCCCAAGACTAACGTCCCAAGACCAATGGCCCAAGACTAATGTCCCAAGACAAATGGCCCAAGACTAATGTCCCAAGACCAACGTCCCAAGACTAACGTCCCAAGACCAATGGCCCAAGACTAACGTCCCAAGACTAACGTCCCAAGACCAATGGCCCAAGACTGTTTCGTACCAAGACTGCTCTGGTCCAAGATTGTTTCGTACCAAGACTGCTCTGGTCCAAGACTGCCAAGGCTGCACTGTCCCAAGACTGTGTTGCCCTAAGACTGTCCCCAGACTGCAATGTCCCAAGACTTCTTCGGTACTGTCCCAAGACTCGTCACTGAGTGTCTGGATATCGGATCTCTTTCTTCTTCGTTGTAGGGACTTCTTGGTTCACTGTACCTTGTACCAACACTCAAGCTCTAGTGAAAATTTTCCCAAAAACCCTCTCTTGATGGCCAAATGCTGACCCCCCCTTTTTAGTTACCTCTTTTTCAATGTTCCCAGCAATTGAAAGCCAAAACTTGTGCGCAGGTATCTTGTGATCACCTGTTTGTATAAAAACCAATCGCAAATCTTCACCAAAATGCAACAATATATAAAAAAATTTTAAACCAGAAAAATAATAAAACAGAGAAATCAGCCCACTTAAAATTCAAAGGAGACAACTGTCGACCTTCTATCGAAAAAAATGTCTGGTACCTAATTGCCACGCGTTTTCCTCCCCCCACTAGCGATCTTATGGGGTATCACAAAAACTGTCTATATCCGTTCCCCCCTACCAATCCAACCAGCGTACCAATCTTAACTCGAGTTAAATTTTGGATATCCACCTATTATAACCAAAGCGTGTTGATGGCTAATGTAACTAAATCAACGATGTCGATTAATTAGTTACTCCTTTTCCCCCCTTTTTACAATTTACAACCGCCAACCTCTAACCTAACCAGCCCCCCTACTAACCTCCCCCCTCTTTAGCCCCCCTCTTAAGCCGAAAAATCCCTTAAGCGCCGGGTGCTAAACCTCTCGAGAGAAAACCGTAGACCTGTTTCCAGGCCTGCTTGAGTAAAAACTGCCTCAAAACAATGGGACTCCGCTTATCCAATTTTACACTTATTTCCTGTAATGTAATGTGGATTCTAACGATACCCGTTGCTCGTCCTCTTGCAGTGGTCCTGTGCTGGTTGTCTCTGTTCTGCACTTGACAGCAGAACCACTTTCCCACTCGACTGGTCACCTCTTCCAATCAAGTCTCCTAGTGGTCCGTTTCGATCCTTGTGAACCACTTTCCCACTCGACTGGTCACCCTTTCCAGTCAAGTCTCCTAGTGATCTGGTTCGATCCTTGTGAACCACTTTCCCACTCGACTGGTCACCTTTTCCAGTCAAGTCTCCTAGTGGTCCGGTTGGGTCGCAATCAATCTGAAAACCCTTAACAACGCCCCCCACTCGGGCACCTTGCTGAAATCACTGGTTTAAATTGCTAGATTGATCGAAACGATCGGTCTTATAAAACAGTATGTGTATACTATTTAATTAATACAAAGGTTTGATCCAACTAATTTGGTATCAAAGTCACTGTCTTTTTTCGTTTTATGGTTTTTGTTCCTTTTTGTATTCTTTTTTGCTCGTGTTTTTGTCCCCCTAGTTGCCCCCCTTTACTCGGTTAGCTAAGTCTCGTTCGGAGAGCGTACCAGGAAGTTTTCTTGAGTTTTCTTAAAAAGCTATCACGGTACAACCGGAAGGTTTACACGTTCCCGCTGAACCGTACCACCGGTACTCTAGAATGGGCATGTAGCCCGGAGCTGTGTCAAGTGGGTTCGACTCCGTAGTCATGATGTCGTAAAAACACCCAGGAGCGCCATAAAAACACTATGTAACATTCGTCTACTGCAGTCACACATGAGGCTTAAGAAAAATAGGCCCTATAACCATTGGCTCAAGAGTCAGGGACACTATCTCTTGTGTTTTTCTACCTCAAATCAGTCGGAGCCAATTCGGTTCGTTTGTGACATGAGACTACGACCCGTTACAGTTTAAAGGCTACTACTAAAATATCCCCCACTCTAGAATTTGGAACGTCCCCATACTTAGGTCTCTAGATACCCAAAATACATGAACGCCGTTAAAAACAGGGTCGGAACAATCCGTTTAGTTACTTTTTATTGGACAGTGGAACTTTGATCCATTTCAGATGGATCAACCTAAAACTCGCCTTATCTCAACATAACTATCATAGAATACACTCGAGAAATTTAAATTGAGAACTCACATGTCGATGCGCTTGAGTATGAGGAGTAATTAAAAGATGAGCAGCTCGAGAATCAAATAATATAACTAAATAAGTTTGATTCTAATTAGTTTTAACAACAGAAGTAAGTTCTGTCTCAAGAATCAAAGTTTCTGCATGAACCATCGGGACACTTGAGTTGTCCTCTCTTCCATTGAATGTTCACTCTGTTCCGTTCGAATAATCGTCCTTTCTCAAGTCTGTGTTCTATTCTCCTGTTTTCGGGATAAGACAGCGGGATAAGACAGCTCTACTCTCTTATTATTTCGTATCGAGAAATTGCGAATAGCAATTTCCTGCCTTTTTCTTGAGTAGTTTCCCGCAATTGTTAATTCGGTCGTTCTGATTTTTCACTTTTTGTTTTCAGTTGGTTCGAGAAAACTGAGCATGACAGGCTCCATTCGAAATTTTTAAAATTAAAACTTCACTCCAAAATTACGTGTTTCTCAAGGTCAAACCAGACATGACCGACTGGCACATGAACCGAATTGGCTCCGACCGTTTTGAGGTAGAAAAACACAAGAGATAGTGTCCCTGACTCCTGAGCCAATGGTCATAGGGCCTATTTTTCTTAAGCCTCATATGTGACCGAAGTAGACGAATGTTACACTTTTCGTCTCCTAATTATTGCGATTAATTGCCATCTTCAATTAATTGATTTTGTGGATTGTGAAATTTGTAAAAGTAACCTGATTTTGACTTACACTTGCTTTTTGGAGTTTTTTTTCAAAGTGCAAGTCAAATGTTTTTATTTTTGTTCCAATTGAAATTTTTGCAGTATAACTTATTGTATTCAACTTTCAGTTGGGAGGAATTGGTTTTCAAGGGAGGAAATGGAGGGATTGGTTTTCGTGGGAGGAAAGCTGGGAGCTGAGCTGAAGCAGCGGCCCATCCCGAAAATTGTAAAACCAGACGATGTTTTGGTCAGAATAAAAGGTGCCGGAATATGCGGAACAGACATAGGGGTCATCAATGGAAAGTTTCCGATACCGGAAAATACCATTATAGGCCATGAAGCTGCAGGACTGGTAGAAAAAATAGGTTTGTATTTGTTCACTATTTGATATCTTTAAATTTTTTCAAAAACAATTATTACCCGTGTGATAAGCTAGGGTTTTGCAATCGGGTACTAGACTTTTTTCCTGTAAATAACTTCAGGCACAGGGGATCTTCACTTCTAGAGGATATTCATTTCTAGAGGATATTCATTTCTAGAGGATATTCACTTCTAGAGGATCTTCACGTGATCATTTTCTTGAAAATTCAATTAAAAGTACTATCAATTAAGTAGTAATTAGTTCCAGCCTATTTCAGGTCGCAATTATCTTTTCAAAACAATTTTTCATTCGCGGTTTTCGTCCTAGTTTCTGTCGGCTCATTTTGCGTTTAAATATGTTAAACATTTCAAATCAATCTTTCTATTATATATTTAAATGCGGGCTTTACTATCTCGCCATGTTTAAGCTTTTTCAACGTATTATTTTTGCATGTTTAACAAAAGAGTTTTTGCACGTTTAAGCTATATCGTATATTGCAATAGTTAAGATTTTTTTAGATTTTCCAGTTTGATTTTAGCGGTTATTTCACCGAGTTTAAAATTTGGCCTCCAATTTTGAATGCCCAAATACTTTTAGTAAACTAGATAAGACGATTTTTTCAAAAATTTTCAGAAAACTAAAATTACAAAATAATATATAAAACTTGAAGTTCCCAACCCTGTAGTTCGGTACTGTCAGAGTACTATCAAGGACTGCGAATCTTGCCTCCAAATATGACTGCTCAAATACTTGTAGTTTTCGAGATATGACGTTTTTTGTGTTTTTTTTCAAAAATTTTTAGAAAAATTAAATTAAATATTTTTATAAAATTTGAAATTTCCAACCCTGTAGTTGGGTGCTGTCAGGGTACTCTCAGGAGTTACAATACTTGTCACATGCGACTGTTTGAATGTGACTGCTCAAATACTTTTAGTTTCCGAGATGTGATGTTTTTTTTTTTTTTTTTCAAAGTTTCTCAAAGAACTTATCTACAAAGAAATTCACAAAATTTGACACTACCAACTTGATGAAGACACAAACTTATTGTCAGCGTATTAGGGTGCTCTCAGGGATTCTCAGTGATTGCAAATCTGGCCTCCAATTTCTCCAGAGGCCCATTAAGTTTTCGAGATGACGTTTTTATGGTTTTTTCAAAATGGGAATTAAAAATTTTTGAAATTACCAACCCTGTAATTGGGTGCTGTCAGAGTACGCTAAAAGTTTTCAGATGTTATTTTCAATATATATGGTTTTTCATGAGTTGTGGAAAAATTTCGAAGCACCGGAGGTGTGTTAAACGCTAGTTCTGTTTTGATTTCCGATAGAAGACTTGTTTTCACACAGTAGACTTGCTTTCACGCAGTGCGGCGGATGAATTTGTTTTGAATCTGAAAAACGAACGTTTTAGGGCAACTGCTATTCAAAATACATCATTAAAAAAATGCATAGCTCTTTTATTGAAAATAGGTTATATATTTCAAAAAAAAATGTAACGATTGTATATTTAAAGGAATAGCTTTGTGAGATGTAGTAGGAATGATCAAGTGATATAAAGAGTTTAAATGCTGCAAGTGCACTAGTGAAATCAGGGTCAAAAACGGTACCCGCCGTCTTGTAAAACGTTCTGCTGCCTCTCAGGCATGTTATCGAGGATTTAACTAGCAAAAATGACAGTTTGCATCTGATCGTCGAGATTGTTTTTGACTATTCTGATGACTTTTGTTCTGATAAGAGTAGGCAAGTCTCTTCAAAATTAAGTCACTTTTACATCCTTGGCTTTCTGTTGATCCGAAAATAAGTGGGGTTACAACTCCATGCTCGATTTCCATAACATTGTAGCATTTTTTCTTTTCGTTTTCCTGCTCTTTGACTTAAGTTGATGAAAACATGTAAATGACGGGACTCATAAACCCTTAGGAAGCGTGACTTTCCAGAAGCCTCAACTACTACTACTACAGCCTCCGCTTTTTTCCTTTGATGGCTAGGTGCGTTGGGATAAAAAAAAACTCGCATCGAAGAATGCACACTGGCCATTTTGACTTCAAAAGTTTCGAGCGCTGATATCGAGTCGAGCATTTTCAGAGGAGTTTGCGGGTCTGTGAGCCAGGTGTTCAGTTATCAGTGGCTGAAGAGAGACGTTGGCAAAATCGACGATGACTTGCAGCCCCAAATTTCAATGTACCTGGAAAGGCTTGACTCGCCGCTTCCTTGACAATAGCAGATTCTACTTTTAATTGTTCATATTTTGAATTTCTCTTTGACCGAAAAGTAGTGCGAGTGTTTGCTGCAAGGCTGTCTGGGATTATCTCCTGCTGCAGCAGGATAACTGATTTCAGGTGGTCGCTCTGTTGCGAGAAGTGAGTTTTGAAATTGAATCTCAGCATCGATAACCGGGTTTGATATAATGTCGCGTGACTTCACGGATGAATGCCTACCCTCTTTGACCAGCTGGGACCTTGAATAAATTCTTTTTCCATGTGATGCGCCGAAGATCTGTTTTTTGAAGTCTTCAAACTTTGAACGGGCCGTCTGCTGGCGTCGGAGTCTCTCGGAGATGTATTTCGATACGGTCTTCAGATATCTTCAGCCGATCCATGGCCTGTTTTAGTCCGCACGATTGGTCTTCTTCCGCATGCCCTCGTTTTCCGGCTATCAGATCGCTCCTCCGCGCTGGAAACAACCACCCCCCCCCCCCCCCCGGTGCTGTGCTCAGTTGAGCAGTAACTACCCGGCTCACTTCTTCCGCCTTGTCTGCGTCGTCGCCTGTTAGTGTCGCGCCGGTACGGGATACTGGAGGGCTGCTGGTTGATGGGAGTGATGCATTTCCCGCAAGGCCACGTAGGAAAAGCTGTTGAGGGTTAAGTCTTCGCTTCTCGTTGGCGCTGCATCATGGGGTAAACATCTATTAAATAAATTGCTTACCCCATGAAATATTAGTTAGAAGACATCATTGAAGTAGCATTTGTTTGTTGCAAAAAACTGCTGCATGATATAGATGGGATAAAACTAAGCAGTGAAGCAAAGAAACCAAAGATATTTTAGGCAGTTATTGTCGAATTCTATCTTTGGCCTTAATTCCTAGAGCCATTTGTCAAAATTTTCTTGATTTCAGTTTGAAATGAGATATTAGAGTCAAGAACTAAACCTAAGTTTTTGCATTCTAATTTTTCTCTACATAATACTCATTGATAATAATACGGTCTAATTCTACATTGTGCTTACCATTTTTTTTGAGAAAAAGTATTAAAAAGCAAGTTGAGTGCTGCTTTATTTTACCATGAATGAGCAGTTTTTGTTCAATGCTTCAGGGTCTGTTTTTGTTCTACCACTGTGTAACCGATTCTGAATTGAACAGCATGCTCTCAGGAGTTCACTAATGTCGCCTTGTTTCCACTGATGAAATCTTTGTTCAAGTAAAGCTGAATGTTCTTTAGCCTTGGTTTCAAAGCGTGGTTTCTGGAGTAGGAGAACTGGTTTTATGATGATACTTGACATTGAGACAATTTGGTGCTTTGTACCTCTCGCAAACTCTTCTAAATGTTGCGTGACTTCACGGATGAATGTTTTTCCTCTTTGACCAGATGGGACCATGAATAAATTCTTTTTCCATGTGATGCGTCGAAGATCTGTTTTTTGAAGTCTCCAAACTATGAACGGGCCGTCTGCTGGCGTCGGAGTCTCTCGGATATGTATTTTGATACGGTCTTCAGATATCTTAAGCCGATCCATGGCCTGTTTTAGTCCGCACGATCGGTCTTCTTTCGCATGCTCTCGTTTGCCGGCTATCGGATCGCTCCTCCGCGCCGGACCCCCAAACCCCCCCGGTGCTATGCTCAGTTAAGCAGCAACCACCCAGCTCACATATTCCGCCTTGTGTGCGTCGTCGCCATTGATTTCGATAAATTAGTAGTGGTTCTTGTTTCATTTTCGGTTTTTCCTTGAATTCTGAATTGTTACAATTCGTTTTCAGCACGTTTTTTTTGCTGTGAAATTACAAACAAGTTTCGTTTCGATTCGGGCATGTTGTTGAAGAGCATAAGAAACTAAATATTACAGCGTTGAAAACTTGGTTTCTTCGTCTGTATTTTGATATTGATGAAACCAAGGAAGAGCGGGTTGAATTTGGCAAAACACCAATTGTCTTTTTTCCATTCAGTATCTTCTAGCGCAATGTGTTTTTTTTGCATAACAAGTGTTGAAATTTGCTGAATAACGTGCATCGTATTCATTCGGTAGTTTTCTAAAAAGTTTAGCACAGACCCACCAAGCGAAATTCTTCAACACTAGACAGCCAATTGGTGAAGACACGTAAGAGTTTTTTTTATTGGTCAAATTTAATTTGTTCGTTTTTCCTTTTTTAATGTTTGTATAGATATGCGAAGCGAATTGATCTTTTTTGTAGGGCGTATTCAAGCTAAATTCATTTCCATTCGTCTCAAAATTAGCAATCAGATAATTAAAATGGGTTTCGTCGAAGAACTTACTCGTGTTGCATCATTTGGAATATAAACATTCAATCCATATGGAATGTTGAATTAGTCCAGATTTTTTTCTCCGATTTGTTCAAATAGTTAATGCTATAATCCCCCATCAAAATCATTTGCTTAGATACAGAAAGTGCATTATCATTAATCAAATCAAGATTTTCCTGAAACTTAGTAAAATTCGCTCTGTTTGGGTAATAACTTTAAATTATTCAACATTTTTACTTGCTGGCAACATTAAAATTAGACTTGCATTCAACCCATACTGACTCATGTTTTTCGCTATTAAACAAGTTTAAACCGTCTCTCGATTTTGGGGCCAACGTAACTGGTATATATAATAAAACATCACCATTTTTTTTCATCACCGAGTGTCTGTCATATTTAAATATCACATGTGTATGGGGTTCAAGATTCCATAAGCTCATGTCATCTTCTTTCTTGAGCCACGTTTTTTAAATCTCAAGACTGTTTTTTCACCCATGTTCTGAACAAATTTACTAACCTGCATGCGTTTTCGAATGACTCTTCGAAAAGTTGAATGGGCAAACTTCAAATTGTTTGAACATAGTTTTTATGTTGATTCGACTATTTCCGAAAAGTTGGGAAAACTTCAATTTGTTTAAACATCGTTTATATGTTGGTTCAACTGTTTCCTTGGGACCTGGATTGGTTTCTACATCCACACTTTGTGTGAGTAATAGGGTAAAACTGAAATTTTGGGTCAGTGGAATTGATACCCGCTCAATTTTTTTCAGTTCTGCTGGAAACATTTCTGGATGGGAGCTAACACTACCCAAAAGACTTTTCGTTTGATTTAAGTTTCTATCCGAAATAAGAAAAAACTAGAAATGACGCAGAAAACAAACTTAAATTTAATGTTAAGCATTGCAGAAGATTGTAAAAATTATTTATTCTTCGAATTTACGCCCAAGATAAAGTTGGAATTTTTGAAAAAAGTTGTATCATATCGGCGGTTTGTGGATCTCAATTGGGTTGTTGATAGGTTTTTTCATACTCGGTCGAGTTGTTGTTTCACTTGTTTTTGCTGTTATGGAAAAATTTCAGAATGTTTGTACCGAAATTCCAACTCCACCATCAGAAGGATGCAACCCATCCGAACAAAGATCGTCATATCATTATTTATAGTACCTTACAAAACTAAAAATTACTTTATTGTCCGATTTTGAAAGGCATCTGATACAAATATGAAGTTTTTGTAGCTGTAATTTCCCAAATTTTTTCAAGTTATTTTTTCAAATAACTTTTTCCAACATAATTTTTCAGAAATTAAATTTGACTTCTGTCTTTTTATCCATTCACTATTTTGTAGCTCATTGGGTTTCGCATCGCAAGTGGTGCGCATCTTTTCTCTGCTTAGTTGAAAAAATGTGGATGAACTTTGAACTCGGGTGTGTTTTAGTTTTTTCGTTTGCTTTCCACGCAAAATGAGGAACCACAAATAATCAGAAGAATCGGCGGAGTCATATTTCATAATAAAGATTTCTCGTTCGTGATTCGAACGACATTTAAAAGTTTTGAACAAAAAAACTGTCGAGAAAAGCAGGTGTGAAATTTTGGTTTATTTTCGAGCTAATAAGGTGAGTGTACAGGCTTATAATAGCTTATTTAAGCTTAGTTTAAGCGGTGAACATTTAGTTTTACTCGAGTTAAGTTAGTTTTTGGTGTTTTTCAGCGACATATTGGAATTCAAAAAATTTTCTTCAAAAAATTAAAATTTTTACGATTTTTTTTGTTTTCCAGTCATTTTTCTATGAAAACTGTTTTCCGATTGGCCTATTTGGCTATAATTGTCGCATTTGCCTAATTACTATATTTTTTTCGGGTTTTTGGAGACTATGGTCGGAACACTCATTGCTACTTGCACAGTAACCGGCTATCCCTGAACCTGATTTATTTGTTTATTGGACTTCCTGATTATTGAACCTCTTCCGTTTTGTTTATCTATCAAATTTTTCCAACATAATTTTTCAGAAATTAGTTTTGACTTCTTTTTTATTCAATTACTATTTTGTAGCGCATTGGGTTTTTGCATCGCAAGTGGTGCGCATCTTTTCTCTGCCTCTGGGTTTTATGTTAATTTGAACAATTTTTTCTATAAGTGGAACATCACAACTGTAAATTTAACATGTCTGGTTTGAGTTTTTTTGTTTTTTTTCAAATTTTCAAGCAAATTCAGTTCATGGTATGTCGATCTATTAAACTTTTTTTGCGTTGTTTTTTGGCCAAATTTTTTCCGTTATTTTTTGGCCAAATTTTTTCCGTTTGGGATTATGTGTTTCACTTTGGATGGTCGTAAAATCTTAAATTTAATGAAATTTTTTTTGACAAGTTTTTTTTTCGGCTCAACAGGTTTTGACTCTAAGTTTGTCGCCGCTTGGTGAATGTTTTTTTTTGTTGTAGGGGTTTTTTATGTTTTTCATTCGATACAAATATGAAGTAATTTTTTCCAACATAATTTTCTCAGAAATATTTTTGACTTCTGTCTTTTTAAAAATCCACTAGGTTGTGGCGAAATGTTTTTTTGCTTTTCAATTGTTTGGAAGCTCCGGCTCTTCTCTATGTTATTTTTATTCGGTTCCCCCCTAACTTCACAACTTTTTAATTTTACCATGTCTGGCTTTGAGTTTTTTCCGATTTTTTTCGTGTTTTTTTTTAAATTTCCAAACAGTTTCAGTTGATGTTATGTCGACTTATTCAACTTTATTTGCGTAATTTTCTGTTTTCCGTTTGAGATTTTGTTAAATGGAAAATTTTTCCGTTTGAGATTTTGTTAAAAACGTATTGCCTCGAATGGTATTCAATGACCAAATTGACCTAGCTGTTTACGTTACAACACAATCCCCCACTTATTCTACATGCGAATGTCAACTCAGTAGAATAAGGCAGCAAGCTTCCGAATCCAAGCCGTTAACCTTTAAAAGTATTGGGTAACTAGCAGAGTTGAGATTGGTTTTTAAGTTATGACGCATATCGTTAAGAAAAACCATTGTCTTCGGTACGTTACCTGCTCTTGATTGTTTTATTAGCCAGATAGTTTGCATTGCGATGGAATGTTTTGCACAACGATTGCTTGTCAAGTTTACTTGTCAAGTTTACTCACTTTTCGGTGTTGTTAATTACCCTTGCCATAAGCAAAGGGTATTGCAAAAGGGTATTGGACTTTTTTCCCGCAAATAACTTTGTTCACAAAGTGGTAAAAATAAGAATGGTAAGTTTAGGTTCACTTCATAAAGTCAAGTTTCTTTGCGTTTTCCGCACACTTGGTCTGGAGGTTACGAATACGCTTGGGACGGCAAAGATCCTTGGTTCGAATCTGACAGGACCTGTTTTTTTTTAAACAGGAAAAATTGTCGTCTTTTTAATTGTCTGCTTATGTTTTGTCGGGTTAGTTATCACATCGTACAATTGTTTTTTTTTGCTCTTCGCAAGTTACACTGTAGTTGCTTTTAGTGCTTGGTTTTTTCTACTGTTTGTAATTTGATTTTTTCAGTCTTTACTTTGTAAATTTTCTTTTTTTAATGTTTTTTCTTCCGCTTAAAAAGTTTATTCGGTCCAAATAATTTCGGTTTATGTTTTTTTTTGGTTTAGTGTACTATTTTCGTGTGTTTTCATTGGAAACGTCATTTTCATGCTCCCCTTTGGATCGCACAAAACGCTACAAATCTGAATAAAACGTAGTTTTTATGACAAAAATTTTTTTCTTTTCATTTTTTTCGGCTATAGGTTTCGGCTTAGATTAAATCGGCTGCTTAATGGCCTCATTTTGTATTCTTCGGCGAGCGAAAAAAAAAATTGAATGTGCGTGTTTATATGTGTTTGGTTTGAGGGTGATTGGAGATGTAGTAACTTTTTTTCGTCGTATTTTTTTTTGATTTTTTTCCGATTTTGCCTCTTTCTTTTTTCTATCGCAAGTGGCGCGAAGCTCAGCTTCGCCTCTGTGGGGTTATTTGAATACACTGACTGGCTTATGTTTTTCTGCCCAAAAATGCTGACCAGCTCCTAAACAATCTGCTTCAACTACCAAAAAAAAACATTGACTGGGCTCCAAAGCTAACATTGACTCTGTAGCTGATACCCCAAACTCGCGAAAATATTCAACGCAGCTGGGATATTTATTCAATTTTTTTTATTTCGCTCAAGCTTTGTGGCATAATCTACAGCAGCTGGGATATCAAAAATAAAATCCAGACATTTTCGCTTTAAATGCAAAATTGTGTTCTGGCGTTTTTGCCAATAAGCAATGTGTTCGGGTTTGAAAAACGGCTAAAAATCTTTCCCGTCATGTTCAGCTAGTATGTGATAACTTCGAAGTTAACTACGTTAGTCTAATGCTTTGTGCTCGTATAGCGAAGCCGAAATTCACACCAACGGCTGATTCGAATATGCTTGATCGGGTTATGGATCGTGAAGTCCGGATAAGTTTTTTCTAGGAAGGATGAAATGGTACTTTGTAACAGTTTGTCACGAAAGTCTCCGTTATTGAGTTAATTGGTTCTCAAAATCAAATATGAGCAAAATAACTTCTAACTTCTTATGACTGTTGAAGAAGTTGAAAATATATTAAATATTCGAATGCAAAATAAAAACTGGAAACAACGCTTTTAAGTACAACAGCATTGAAGTTCTATAGAGGATTTGTACAATGCTGTTGTCAAATCTTAAATTGATGTTTAATTTTTTCTTTGTTTTTGTTTGAATAAAATTTCATATTTTTTTGCTGAATTTTGTATCGAAAGTGGCGCGAAGCTCCTCTTCTTGCTTCTTTTCTGTGTTATTTTGTTCTTCTTATTTTGCTACAAAAATTTTAGTTTCGACTTTGTATTCTTCGTGCAGTAGCGTCCTGAAGGGGGTCCTTATAGTATTTTTGGAGCTCGGAATAGTATTTTTGGGGTCCTTATAGAGCTCGGAAAATCAAATTGGTCGACCTAAAAAAAAGGTCCGCAAAGTTTTCAAAAATTTTTGAAACCGCTCCCCCCCTTTAGAAAAATTTTTGCGCACGCCACTGTTTTCATGAATTACCGTCTGTTAGCAGCATCAATGTTCTCCAGTTTTTGCGTGATCTAGATGTATACATTCATTTTATACAGATATATTTTGCTTATTTAAACCGTCATTTAAAAAAGCCAAAATATTTTTAAGGATATCATTTTAGGAGATGGCTGTCTGCGTATCAAATGTGGAGATAGAGTTGGTATTAACCCGGCTAAAGGATGCGATAAATGCAAGCTGTGTTCAACAGGTATTTTTGCCGATTTGTTTTTCACGTCACGAAAGTGCCTCTAATCTTTCTGTTTTCTATGTATTTAAGGGAAACCCAATCTGTGCGAGAAAGGTGGACTGAGTTGTTACATGGGCTTGAGTGTTGTAAATGGAGCACTTACAGATTACGTGGTAATAGCAGAGGAGCTGTTATTCAAAATACCCGATGATCTCAGTTTCGAAAAGGCAGTGCTATGTGAGACTATGTCCACTGTTGTGAGAGGTTATGACCAGATGAAGCCACTTGACGAAGTAAGTTTGATTTAAATGATAAGGGTCAGAAAAATAGACAGCTTTAAAAGATTGTGAGTATATCAAGTTGTGTTTTTGATGTGTTTATCTTCGCAAAATCGTATATCAAGACCAAACAAGATGATGTCAACTTAGCGATCACAATAAAGCTGTTTGCCAGAATACGGTTGCATTTAAAAAGTTTTCACAGGTCACAATTGACAAAAAAATGAGTTATTTGTTCAAAAACGGGCTATCTTTGCTTGCTTGGGAATATGGACGGACTAGTAAATATTGGATGCTTTACTCGCAGATCACGAACGTCAAAACTATCTTTTCAGAATATTTTCGAACATTAAAAATCTAACGGCTTTTTGGCTTCAGGACTCAAAGATTCTTGTACTGGGTGGAGGTATCACTGGTACTTTGGCAGCCAGTTTGCTCATTGACGAAGGATTCACAGATTTCACAGTTTGTCAGAGGTCTCAAGCCAGACAAGAGAACATCAGGAAGCAGTGTGCTGGTTTCAGTGTTGAAGTCATCAGTCCGGATCAACTGGAAAATGCGTATGACGAGAGCCATGGAGCTCGATCTTTCGGATTTGATGTTATATTCGAATCAACGGGGAACCCTGAAGCTGTTGAGAATGCAATGAAGTATCTCAAACACGGTGGGAAGATGGTGATCTTTGGTTGCTCTCCAGTCGATGAAAACATTAAAGTATCCCTTTTTGAAATCTTCCGCAAAGAACTGACTATTGTCGGGTCGTTCATTCAGCCAAACACATATGAAAGGGCCTTGGAGAAAATAATATCACTCAACAGGCAAAACAGACTCGATTTTGATGTTCTCAAAATTCAAACCTATTCATTGAGCGACTATCAAAAAGCATTATATGATTTGAGTTCTAAGTCTATCACCAAGGCCATCATTGTTTGATGTTAACAGGCATATTATTTGTACAATTCATAAATAGATTTTAGTTAGAATTTAGAGAGATCTTAGAGAGAGATTTTGTAGTTAAAACAAAGACGAATACATTTTTATATTTGGTTTTTTGAGTTGCAGATAATAGTTGTGTATCTAGCTGGTGCTTCAATTAATAACACTAGTGTAGCGTAGTGTCAGATTGCGTAGTCTACTTTTTTTCCAATTAAATTCGCAAGTAAAAGTGCGATTTCCCCCCCCCCCCCCACCTGCTAAATTTTACAAGTGAAGTTTTGTTCACATCGGAACGTTACGAAAATGTGAACTAATTAGGCATTGGCAAACATTTTTGGTCTTCATTTTTAACCTTGTAAAATCCCTCGTTACGCCATAAAATTGATGCTTATGTGAGGTGGGGCAGGGGAGAAAAGAGCCAAAAGTGCTTCAATGCATAGCACCGGTAATTTAGTAGCATCTGTAGCTGCTTTATTCCTGGCTTTTGCTGGAAGTTTGCAAGAAAGCGTCAAACAGAACACTTTTTGAAATTCTAAGCGGTTTCTGGAATAAAATTTTTTTCGCGCAGTCGCCTGCAATCATGGATGTTTTTCCAGTTGTCTTTGGCTATGTTTTCCATGCAACTCGCAACTTTTTGACACAATTTTTTCAATTTAGTTCAAGTCCTTCAGTATAGATAAACTTGTAGGTGATCTAATTGCACGTGGCTCAACCTCTCAAACAAAGCGCACTCATTGACGACAGGTAATAACGATTGAATTTTATGTGATAGTCTATTATTGAACCGTCTAAATGCTTGCCTATTATGCAAATAAATTCTTAATTTGGTCCACCGCTGTAGCCTGGTATTTTGCAACCATATTTTTTGCAGTCTATTTTCTTTGTTTATACATGCAAATGTTTATATTAGAATAGGAATTCATTTTTTCCAAGGTAACTTGTGCAAAGTTTTGTTCAAGTTTTATAACCTTCGATTAGGAACGTTGTTGCTACCGAGTGCTAATTTTTTCCCCGTTAACATCTTTTTCAACAAGATTTAGCTCGTGGAATTGTAACGCGTGTTTCATTTTGCTTCATTACACTTGCGAGAGCAAGTGCCTTGTAATCGGGAACAAGACTTTTTTCCGTAAACAACTTTCTTAGACTTTTGTAGGAAGTTGAGCTTGCTCTAAATGTGAACCCTCGTCACATCCGGTCACCTTGCGTCATGATCTCGAGGCAATACTGTTGCCTTGGCATCCTATGCTCTAGATTCGAGTCCCGCTCGGACCTAGTGTTTTTCAGTATATGTGAATATAATTTTTTTTCCGGAAAAAATTGCATCATCGGCCTATTGTTTTTCTGCTTAGTTGACATACCGGAGATTTTTTGCGCTGTAAGCTCTTTTCCCGGTAACTGCATGTTATGGTGATTTTCTACTATAATTTAAAGTTTTACTAACGCTGACTTAGCATATTTTCCTTATTTTTTCACTTTTCGTTCGGTCTACATGACTTGTATCGGCTTAGCTCACTAATTTGTGTCGCTCGAAGGGCAAAAATGAGTCGTTTGAAGGGCAAAAAAGTGATGTTTCAAATTAGTTTGTCGCTATTTTTTTTCTAGTTCAGATCGGTTGTTGTTCAAAAGTTCAAAGTTTTGAAATTAAAATGCTCAGTTCTGATGGCATTTTCTTACGTTTTTTGTTTTTGGCTTAACCGCCGTCTGCCTTCTGATTGTCGGCTTAGTGGCAGCTCGATAAGCAGTAAAAGCGCAATTACGTAATTGTTGCTGGCATTTATGTTACCGACTGTTTTTTTGAATATAAATTTTTCAATTATTCCAAAAAAATCTTTCAAGAAGGCATAAAATTTCTTTATATCGTTTGTCGTTTTTGGAGATTGTTAGCAATTTTTTTGTTTAGTGAAGCGCAGTTTAAATTACTTTAATTGACACGTAGTTTCGATAGACCATAAATCAAGCACTCGAACATTTTCGTTTTGGTTTGATAGTGGCCACTCGAATATAACAATTTAATGCGACAAAAATTCGAAACTCATAATTCGAAAAATTCAAATTAATAATGAACAGACAGAAAATGAAACTAATTTATCGTTTTCGTTGGTAAGTGGCATAACGTAGAGCCCAAGTCTGTAGCTCACAAAACAAAGTTTTTGTTTTGGCTTGCCACCAGAAAGTTCTTAGTACGAAGTGTGTTAGTACGAACTTTCTTTTTTCCAACCTAAGACGCAAATTAAAGTCCTACTTTTGGTGGCGCTTGTGAATCGGTAGGCTGCGGTAGCACTATAATGTCTTATGTGCTTTGACATTAGATTTGTATAAAGTTGACACAGTTGATGTATTTTTAATTCATCAAATGAATCGAAAAAAGTTATTTGTTTCAAACAGCAGTACAAGGATAAAAAGCTCGATTTCAAAGTTTTTGATTTCAATGTATAGTGCAATTTTTTTTGAAATGCATAATTTATACTTAATTTGGCTTTACGTTTTCCAATTTATTCGAAACAAAATTGTGTCCAATTTTATCTGATGCTACTTTTTCTGCATCGAATTGGCAATTTTTTAGCATACATAGCTGCCTTATCGGTGTCTAGTTTTCGAGAATTTTAATCATCCGTGCTTAGTGTGTGAGACTCTAATTTGCTAGGTCGTAGATTTGAATCCGGATCGTAGCTGAGTTTTTGCTAGTTTGAGGCCAATTTCTACTATCTTATTTTACTTGATCGAGCAGCTTTTTGGTCTAGTTCTTTACAAGTGTTTGCAAAGCACAGGTTCGCCTCTGTGTAGTGTGTTTGGTTTTGGCTGTGTTTGGGTTTCGATATAAGTGGATTGGATTATTAGGTTGAAATTCTGAGTTCATCATTTGTGATATATTTAATGTTTAACTCTGAAGGTGTTGATTTTTTTTCATGCTGCTTTTAAAGAAAAATCTGGAATGAAGTTTCAGCTTAAAGTTTGAAATCCTTTTGGGTTGCAAATTACTGGAACAATTTAGGGATTGGGTTTCTTCAACTTCATATTGGTAATTTTTGCAAATGTTTTGTTATTTTTTTGCATATTTTTTTGTTGGATGGTTTATTACGCTGTGGTTTTCTGAAGGAAAGTGCGTTATCATATCGCTTCAAAAACAGTTTGTTATGAGTTCTCACGAACTCTTTTTCGCAGGTTTTTACCTATTCATCTGTTTTTGTTTTCGATTTCGCGAGGCACTCGAAGCTCTGATTTGACCCTAAAAATGAGTCAAATACTGTGGAACGTTGTAAAGAGGCTTACGTTATAAAAAATCGAACTTATATTTAACGAACCACAACTTTTAATCGATTCAAAAGTTCTTGGAACGTTATTTCTCTAGACTGCTTTTCTCGATACAGCTTCGGGGGCTGCTGCAAAATCTTGGTTCTCTTCGCCGCCTTCTGATTGAGAGAACTGCCGGATAGTTCAACATTTTCAAAATTATGTCGAATTTAATCAAATGTCGAATTTAAGCATTCAAAGGTATGGCACTGCATGAAAGATTCAAAGAAAAGCTGATTACGCAAGATCCAGAATAAGTTGCATTTAAAATATTGCAATAGGCGCCTCGTAAACTACGTTATGGAGAGTTTTAATTGTACACAGCTCACGTTCTATCGAGGTGAATTGGGATTGTACTTTGACTCGGTCAAAAAATTTACGTACTAAGAAGGTTTACTTTATAATGGGGGACGTTATATTTAAATTCGGCTATACTCTTACAAGAGCGACAGTTCCCAAGAAAACTAGGTGATAAACAGGTCCCGAGTTGGTAATTACATTGGCCTGTAAAAATTTGAAAGCTTTATTGTGTATAGTTTTTGCATTTAAAACATCTCGCGAAACAATACTTTGGAAAACTTTTGATATGGAACTTTCGTATTGCTTAGAAATGGCGTAGCCTGTATTCCAAGTTTTTCCTTTGGATGTTTTACTTCATTTTGAGCATCAAAAAAACTATGTTTTGTTAATTTAATCTTTGCATTTTTTTGACATTCTAAAATCGGATAGGCATTCTGAACTAGGTTTATTCATTTCAATTATCTCACAAAACAATGCATTAGAAAATTTTGGAATTGTTATTTTACGCTGTTTAGAAAAGTTTTGTCCGAGATTCCACATTGTTTAGAAGTGATGTTTTTTCTACATTTTCATTCCCAAATAAATCATGCTTTGTCAGTTCAAGCTGAGTAAATTTTGCTTATGGCTTTTATTGATTGTATAAATATCGGATAGGTTTTGAAGTTTTGATTGCAACATTTACATTCAAAAGAAGTTAAGATAAAGTTTGACTTAGTTTACTGAGTTTATTACGATGTCGCGAAGAAAGCTTCAAATTAATTCAGGACACAGGATCAAGCTTTTTCACAGCAAAGTTATTGAAAAAAATGTCAAAAAAATGAAAAAGGTAATTGAAGCTCAACTTCGCCCCGTAAAAATAAAACCTTGGTTTTTTTTAGGTTGTAAAGATCAATCGAGTTCATGTTTTTGTTTTACTGATACGTAACTTTTTGTTGATGTAATTCTGCTGTCTTTTTAATTGTTCTGACCATTGAAAATAAAAGTGAGCTTACAATCCAAATTAAGCCGTGAAAATTTAGTCTTACTCCAGTAAATTTAAATCTCGAATTTTTTGAATCACCGAAAATTTTGAAATTCAACTCTACTGGAGTAAGACCAAAATTTCACGTCATAGCTCGGATTATAAGCTCACTATTACTTCCAATGGTCGAGTTTTGCTTTTATTTAATGAGAAAAACTGTTTTCAAATGTCCTTATCATACTATAACTATCGAAGTTATAGGCTTTCGTTCAGATTCTCTTGTCACATCACGAACAAGAAACGATGCAATTTGAGAAAAAAATTCTTTTTTTTGGTGGCCGTAGTTTAGCTGCCGCCTTTATGCACAAGCCACCGCTAGTTTTGACCGTTATGCTTTTGACCCCAAAAATGAGAATCTCGCAATATTTTTGCCATTTTTTCGTCGGGATTTTTCATTGACTTGCTTCTCAAAATAGTGAAAAGACAAATCTGAAAGTGAAATTTCCATTCATTTCCTGGGGAGAAATCTCACTTTTATCCAGAAGAGTTGTAGAATTAAAGGAAGAATGAATTAACTTTTGAAAGTTTTTCAGGTTTTCTTTTCAGTATAAACATAGCTGAGCGTATTTGTTTTGGTCACACGCATCGGATGACCTGGTTTAAATCACAATCTGAAAAAATTGGTTTTTATCATTTCATTTTTTCTCAGCTCTCTCATTTTCTAGAAGTGGAAGCGTTCGAAATTTTTTTTCCTCTGATCAAAAAAGTCGATGTCAAGTGTATCTGACGCGCACTCTTGATCTGAGTGCGCAGGTTTGAATCTTAATCTCAGAGAAAAAAATTATCGTTTCAAAAATCGAAACAACATGTTCCGTTTAATTCGAAGTTAAATTTTTAAAAGAAAATTCAAGACATGCGGTTTTCAGTGTTGTCACTTGTTGAATCTGTTTTTTATTAAAAAAAAAGAGCAAATTCAAGCTTGCTTGATCCGATATTTAAAAAATCATTTTTTTTCAGTTTTTTTCCATTTCATCAATTCAACAATTTTATAACAAAACAGCTTCACTTTCCGATTTTTTCTTGAGTGCCATTGAGTGAGTCTTTACCAGAAACATGTAGTGAAATGATATAGAATTTGACAAAAAAAAATCAGAGGAAGCAGTTCGAGTTCCAGATGAGCGAGCATATTTTTTTTTTCACTTCTTCATCTTGATCGAATTGAAATTGCTGAAATCATTTGAGTAAAAGTGTCTGCAATGTCTTCCAAACATTTGAATAAGCACAAATTTATCAAACTGTTTCGCCTCCCCACCGCAGGGGCTAGACCGGAACAGCCCTACAATATACTTGTCTCGAGCTACTCGATCGTCTTTTATTGATATCAATTGGTATTCAAGATTTGTTTTTTTTTCGATTAAACTCAGTGATTGGCAAAACTGCAAACACGACAGACTGGCGATCAGTACGTCAGGGTTCCAGTTCAAGAGAATTCAGGTACATAGTAAAAATTTTGAAAGTGAGATCTGAAAGCACGAGTTACTAACGTAGTGCAAGCAGCAAAGATCTAAAAACCCCGATGGTGTCTCGCGACCTGACCCCTTGTTGTGGTTGGAACTTTCTGTGCTATTGGCACTTCAACCAGATACCCTTGCTGTGTGAGCAGCCGCAGGTGAGTGGGTAAGACGCACGGCCTTCAACTCAAAGGTCGTGATTTCGAATCCAGCTTCGGTCACAGTTGGAAGGATCGCAGTGTCATCCGCCTCCTCAAAGCGGGACCGGTTGCGGGAAAATGAATGACATTCTCTCCCACACGGAAAAAGGGCCCAAGGTTGAATAGTGGGAGCTGGGCTGGGAGCTAATGAAAAATTAAACAAAATCCTTGCTGTGTTACGAATTTAATAGAGCAAGCTACTTTTGTTGATAGATGCTCTAACAGTGTATTCTGCAGTAACTTGTGAGGAATCCTCGCATTCCAAATCTACTTCTTTGTAGACCCTACTTCTTTTCCTCTAGAAACTCGAAATCTGTTAACTTTTTTGATGACTCAAGGAATCCTACAATTATGTCAAACCTACAAAAATGTGAGAGCAATTGTCTTGTAATCAGGAGCTGGACTATTCCTGTGAACTACTCGTCTTTCATACGAGTAAGAAAATGAGATTTCTCATTATGAAACTTCAATTACTTACAGGCCCTTCCCACCTGCTCATCCCACCCTTCCCATGTGGCTTCCGGTCATAAGGTTTGTCGTTGTCTGAACTTTTCGGTTTTCTTATCTTTTTCTTGTCGACGTAGTTTCCGTTCTGTTTTTCTTAAACGATCAAGCCAAATCCTCTTGAATGTCTTGGGTCCTGATCATTGTATGTATGACGATAGAAATTTGATTTTATTCAGCTGATAATTTTTTGATTTCCTGGTTTTCGATTGAAGCTCAGTCCTTTTAGTTTCCGTATGGTAAAATTATTTATATGAGTGCGTGTGCTCAGGGGCGGATCTAGGATTTTCTCGAAGAGAGAATAATTTTCAGAAATATTTTTGAAAATTTTGTCGACCGTTTGTTTTCTTAGCTCGACAAAATTGATTGTTTGAGCTCTCCCAGAATACTATAAAGGCCATATATTGACAAAATTTTCTGCGACGCAGGCAAAATTTCAAGAAAAAACGGGCTCTCTTGATCTGAGTGCGCAGGTTTGAATCTTAATCTCAGAGAAAAAAAATTATCGTTTCAAAAATCGAAACAACATGTTCCGTTTAATTCGAAGTTAAATTTTTAAAAGAAAATTCAAGACATGCGGTTTTCAGTGTTGTCACTTGTTGAATCTGTTTTTTATTAAAAAAAAAGAGCAAATTCAAGCTTGCTTGATCCGATATTTAAAAAATCATTTTTTTTCAGTTTTTTTCCATTTCATCAATTCAACAATTTTATAACAAAACAGCTTCACTTTCCGATTTTTTCTTGAGTGCCATTGAGTGAGTCTTTACCAGAAACGTGTAGTGAAATGATATAGAATTTGACAAAAAAAAATCAGAGGAAGCAGTTCGAGTTCCAGATGAGCGAGCATATTTTTTTTTCACTTCTTCATCTTGATCGAATTGAAATTGCTGAAATCATTTGAGTAAAAGTGTCTGCAATGTCTTCCAAACATTTGAATAAGCACAAATTTATCAAACTGTTTCGCCTCCCCACCGCAGGGGCTAGACCGGAACAGCCCTACAATATACTTGTCTCGAGCTACTCGATCGTCTTTTATTGATATCAATTGGTATTCAAGATTTGTTTTTTTTCGATTAAACTCAGTGATTGGCAAAACTGCAAACACGACAGACTGGCGATCAGTACGTCAGGGTTCCAGTTCAAGAGAATTCAGGTACATAGTAAAAATTTTGAAAGTGAGATCTGAAAGCACGAGTTACTAACGTAGTGCAAGCAGCAAAGATCTAAAAACCCCGATGGTGTCTCGCGACCTGACCCCTTGTTGTGGTTGGAACTTTCTGTGCTATTGGCACTTCAACCAGATACCCTTGCTGTGTGAGCAGCCGCAGGTGAGTGGGTAAGACGCACGGCCTTCAACTCAAAGGTCGTGATTTCGAATCCAGCTTCGGTCACAGTTGGAAGGATCGCAGTGTCATCCGCCTCCTCAAAGCGGGACCGGTTGCGGGAAAATGAATGACATTCTCTCCCACACGGAAAAAGGGCCCAAGGTTGAATAGTGGGAGCTGGGCTGGGAGCTAATGAAAAATTAAACAAAATCCTTGCTGTGTTACGAATTTAATAGAGCAAGCTACTTTTGTTGATAGATGCTCTAACAGTGTATTCTGCAGTAACTTGTGAGGAATCCTCGCATTCCAAATCTACTTCTTTGTAGACCCTACTTCTTTTCCTCTAGAAACTCGAAATCTGTTAACTTTTTTGATGACTCAAGGAATCCTACAATTATGTCAAACCTACAAAAATGTGAGAGCAATTGTCTTGTAATCAGGAGCTGGACTATTCCTGTGAACTACTCGTCTTTCATACGAGTAAGAAAATGAGATTTCTCATTATGAAACTTCAATTACTTACAGGCCCTTCCCACCTGCTCATCCCACCCTTCCCATGTGGCTTCCGGTCATAAGGTTTGTCGTTGTCTGAACTTTTCGGTTTTCTTATCTTTTTCTTGTCGACGTAGTTTCCGTTCTGTTTTTCTTAAACGATCAAGCCAAATCCTCTTGAATGTCTTGGGTCCTGATCATTGTATGTATGACGATAGAAATTTGATTTTATTCAGCTGATAATTTTTTGATTTCCTGGTTTTCGATTGAAGCTCAGTCCTTTTAGTTTCCGTATGGTAAAATTATTTATATGAGTGCGTGTGCTCAGGGGCGGATCTAGGATTTTCTCGAAGAGAGAATAATTTTCAGAAATATTTTTGAAAATTTTGTCGACCGTTTGTTTTCTTAGCTCGACAAAATTGATTGTTTGAGCTCTCCCAGAATACTATAAAGGCCATATATTGACAAAATTTTCTGCGACGCAGGCAAAATTTCAAGAAAAAACGGGCCAAAAAGTTTGCTTGTTTGTATGTTAGATATCCGTTCTATTCGGTATACTTTTATTCGAGATGTACCTTTTTTCCACTTGTGACTGTTTTTTTTTGCTAGTTTTCAATGCTATGCTTGTGATTTATTGTATGTGGTCCGAAGCTCCACTTCGATTCTTTGTAACCAACATGTAAGCTAATTATTTCGCTTTTCGGTCTTCAAATTATGGAAATCGGATTATCAACAAATAAAACGATGTTAATCGTTATATATGGAATTCCATACAGATTTTGTTGATCCAAACTGTTGCTCATTTTCGGCATACTTATAATCAGAAGTTATCAGAAATGGTACATCACCCTTGATGCTATGGAACAAGAATACTGCAATTGAAGATTATACCAAATCGCCGTAGGTACAGGTCAATGCCTTCAGTGATTTCTGTCAGAAAACTTTAGTCAACAGATAAGTTTGGTTCGCTTTTTGACTATTCTGCCCACGAGGGTGTTGATGCAGCTATCCAATCCCTTTTAACATAAGCGACTACCATTGACAAAGGAGAAGACATCACTTGATAAATGATATAGCTCGATGAATTGATTAGTTTTCTGAGTAAACGTAAAAGGTGGCAATGAGTTTGTATTTGATACACATTCATTGGAGTCAAATTTTTTTTGCAAAAGTTTTCTGGAAATAAATGCTTTTTTCAGATTTTAGATACGTTTAGTAGATTTGTGATTTGAGTGATTGTGTAACGAGAGTTACAAGCAGTAAATTCAACGCACAATCTTCAAACTAAATTATGAAGATGAGATGGAAGCATTTGTGTGCTTTGTTTTCTATCTTCTTTCTCATTTTGATCGTTCTCAAATTAGTACCAGACAAAGAATGGTTCCAACCGAAGAACAGTTTCACTGACGAGAGAATTGCGGTTTTTGTGAGGACATCGACGCAGACTGCAAAGACAAGGTTGCCTCTACTTCTGCAAACATGGATAGGTCAGTCTTGATCAGAATTATCGCTCCTCTCTCAGCTGTTTTAGACAATGTATGCGCTGATTCAAAAGAAAATTGCGGAGGGTTCAAAAAACATAATGATTATAAAAGGACTGATTTATTTTGTTTCTGTTTTAAGGGTCGTCAAACAGAAGCGTCATAGTTACATCTCCGGGTCATGTTGATCATAAAAACTCGACCCACGTCTCATTCGTGCAATCAAACTGCTTTTCCAAGAATCGAAGACTGAATCAATGTTGCCAGCTGGCCTTCAGTTTGAGCTACTCTATTCGCGAGTTCCCGACAGCGTTCTGGACATGTCATTTTGACGATGATTCGTTTGTCAATACGGGACAATTGAAGACGTACCTTTCACAGTTTTCTCATTTAACAGATTATTATATAGGAAGAAACTCCTTAGCTACACCTTCTAGTGTAATCAATAAAGAAGACAAGAGACAACATTATTTCTATTTCGCAACTGGAGGCGCAGGATTATGTCTTAGCCGTCCATTACTTATGAAATTGAAATCATTCGTTGATCCTGGTCAGTATATAAGTCAGTGTGATCAAACTGGTCTTTCGGATGATGTTTTATTGGGATACCTTCTTTCGAAAGAAGTTGGTGTGCGGCTAACCATTACGAATCGTTTGCACTCGCATCTTGAAGACTTGAGCGCTATGAAACGAGAATTACTTCAGAAACAAATAACTCTGAGTTACAATTTGAATTACGAAAATAAAGTCAGCTTACCAAATATGTGGAACATTGATGATTCAACTGGTTTCAAAAGACTCACTTGTTTAATTTATGGTGTCGGAGTTTCCCAAAGCTGCGAGTCCACGACGCACAAATTGGTATGAAAATATCTGAGTCAAACTATTTTTACTTGATGAAACGAGATTGATGAAGTAATTTCGTATAAAGCAAAAATAGCCGGTTGCCGAGATTTTTCAGGCCATGGACATTTTTCGAGAAATCAATTTCGAAAAAAAACTAAAAATATAATAAATACTTTTTTCTGGAAAGTGATGAGGGAATTATCACCCTTGATGCTATGGAACAAGAATACTGCAATTGAAGATTATACCAAATCGCCGTAGGTACAGGTCAATGCCTTCAGTGATTTCTGTCAGAAAACTTTAGTCAACAGATAAGTTTGGTTCGCTTTTTGACTATTCTGCCCACGAGGGTGTTGATGCAGCTATCCAATCCCTTTTAACATAAGCAACTACCATTGACAAAGGAGAAGACATCACTTGATAAATGATATAGCTCGATGAATTGATTAGTTTTCTGAGTAAACGTAAAAGGTGGCAATGAGTTTGTATTTGATACACATTCATTGGAGTCAAATTTTTTTTGCAAAAGTTTTCTGGAAATAAATGCTTTTTTCAGATTTTAGATACGTTTAGTAGATTTGTGATTTGAGTGATTGTGTAACGAGAGTTACAAGCAGTAAATTCAACGCACAATCTTCAAACTAAATTATGAAGATGAGATGGAAGCATTTGTGTGCTTTGTTTTCTATCTTCTTTCTCATTTTGATCGTTCTCAAATTAGTACCAGACAAAGAATGGTTCCAACCGAAGAACAGTTTCACTGACGAGAGAATTGCGGTTTTTGTGAGGACATCGACGCAGACTGCAAAGACAAGGTTGCCTCTACTTCTGCAAACATGGATAGGTCAGTCTTGATCAGAATTATCGCTCCTCTCTCAGCTGTTTTAGACAATGTATGCGCTGATTCAAAAGAAAATTGCGGAGGGTTCAAAAAACATAATGATTATAAAAGGACTGATTTATTTTGTTTCTGTTTTAAGGGTCGTCAAACAGAAGCGTCATAGTTACATCTCCGGGTCATGTTGATCATAAAAACTCGACCCACGTCTCATTCGTGCAATCAAACTGCTTTTCCAAGAATCGAAGACTGAATCAATGTTGCCAGCTGGCCTTCAGTTTGAGCTACTCTATTCGCGAGTTCCCGACAGCGTTCTGGACATGTCATTTTGACGATGATTCGTTTGTCAATACGGGACAATTGAAGACGTACCTTTCACAGTTTTCTCATTTAACAGATTATTATATAGGAAGAAACTCCTTAGCTACACCTTCTAGTGTAATCAATAAAGAAGACAAGAGACAACATTATTTCTATTTCGCAACTGGAGGCGCAGGATTATGTCTTAGCCGTCCATTACTTATGAAATTGAAATCATTCAGTGATCCTGGTCAGTATATAAGTCAGTGTGATCAAACTGGTCTTTCGGATGATGTTTTATTGGGATACCTTCTTTCGAAAGAAGTTGGTGTGCGGCTAACCATTACGAATCGTTTGCACTCGCATCTTGAAGACTTGAGCGCTATGAAACGAGAATTACTTCAGAAACAAATAACTCTGAGTTACAATTTGAATTACGAAAATAAAGTCAGCTTACCAAATATGTGGAACATTGATGATTCAACTGGTTTCAAAAGACTCACTTGTTTAATTTATGGTGTCGGAGTTTCCCAAAGCTGCGAGTCCACGACGCACAAATTGGTATGAAAATATCTGAGTCAAACTATTTTTACTTGATGAAACGAGATTGATGAAGTAATTTCGTATAAAGCAAAAATAGCCGGTTGCCGAGATTTTTCAGGCCATGGACATTTTTCGAGAAATCAATTTCGAAAAAAAACTAAAAATATAATAAATACTTTTTTCTGGAAAGTGATGAGGGAATTCCGGCTCAGATGATTATGTTTCCGAATGGAATATTAACATATTTTTATCGACATAAAAGTTTTTCTTTGATAAGTTTATCTTGTATAAAGTGACTCTCCACTCGTTTGTCAAGGATCTTTCAAGTTTCACACGTTCTAAAAAGCGGTTCCGAGTCTTATAGCCCTGCGCCTATTAATGCCCTATTTCTAACCCCTTATCTTTTATCCCCAGAATTAGCTAACTTCACTACAATTCAACCCCTTTTGTTACTAGTGGTTAGAATCAAAGTGAAACTTACTTCTGCTAAGGAACTGCGAAACCATACGCGATATCATGTACGCTTATAAATGCGGTATAGACTTCAAAAAAGTTGACCTTATCAATAATCTAGACTTTGATATGAATTTGAAAACTACTCCGACCGGCTATATTCAATAAAGCGTCAGCAAAAGGTTAGATAAACGAAACCTGAATATGATCCTGAAAATATTCCTGCCAATAATAGGTTGTTTGTCGCAATTTGAATGAAATCTGGAATGCAATGTGGCTGTGAACAAAATTTTTTTTCTAAAACAAGCAGTTTTCAAATGCCAATATTGTAAAATAAAACTTTGATAACTTTTCGAATCATCTGAAGTCTCTGAAGTTTCGGCATATAACGCAATGTCCAAAGGGTTTGCCAGTACCTAATCCCAATCTAGTGTCCCATCATGGGAGCAGTCGTTACGGTATCCAGCTTCTAGAGACAACATGTTTCAAATGCGAGTAAAGACATCAAGACAGATAGTTTTTTACGTCTCCGGGATGCTGCAAGGATACGTATTTTCTCAATCAAATGGACAAAAAAAATTTTTATTCAATTAATTGAAAGAACAAACGAACAAATTTTAAGCTTGATTTTAACACATAGCGCGAATGAAATTTAAATCAGTGTTTTTTTTTATAAACAATCACAATATTCTGCATTTTCTAGGACCTTGTTTTTGTTTGTAAATTGGTGCCCACTCGAGGCGTTGTAGAAATAGAGCTTTTGAATGGAAGCGAATTCTTGTAAGTCTGAAATTACTTCTTTTATACTGGGATGCAACCAATAAATATTGGCTGTTTACCATTATTCCAGCCCTCTACAGCATTTGTTGCTCTGACCACTCCGGATGACGCCGCATCTATTTTTTTCCGCATCTCTTAGCCGCATCTGACTTTTGGTAGGAACACCTGCCTTAAATATCAAAGTTTCTTACATGTTTACTTAACTGGTTCATAATCTTATGTTCCTGCGTTTTTAACCCCCTGATTTTTTAGCGCCATCTCTTCAACCCAGAGTTAGACAACTCCAACACGCTTTAACCCTTTTTTTAATACTTAATGTTAAGTTGAAACTTACTTGAAAGTGATGCGGGACGATCAAAGCTTTAATTGGAAAAATATCCGAAACAAAACAAGACAAGAATGCTCGTATATCAGGGCGAAGCCCTGAATGTTCCGACTGCCTTTTAAGGTTAATGGAGCAGTAATAACAGTAAAAAATTCAATGAAATAAAACAAAATGAAAAAAAAACAAATTTGTAAAATTTGAATTTTTTATGAAAATTATCCCCCCACACGGCATATAAAGTACAAAAATATAGATTTAGCTCCTTGTAGCAAATCAATTATGGCGAATAAGCTTCTTTCAACCATTTCGGAACGATTTTAAGACGGATTAACTCTCCGCTTACGCGTTAATAGCGCGAAATATATCGCGCGTTAATTGTCCCAAATTGACCAAAATGGCAATCTTCAAACCCCCGTAACTTTACAAAAAATGATCACAGGTAAAAAATCTTTTCAAATTTGAGCTCAGGACAACAATACCTTTCGAATGATATAAAAAAATTCCGTCAAAAATTGCTAGTTAAAAAGTCGAAATTTGTCTGAAGAAAAAAAAACCCACCCCGAGCACAAATATTCCGTTACTTTCGTATCGAAAGTTGGAACAATAATAGGCATGATACTATTTAGATTTAAGTAATTTTTAGATAGTCTATCTTTCATATGACATTGGAATCGAATCTGAACGTCGATATTCAATTAAATTTTTGCAATTGTTTAGATTTTCTTAACATAAACTTGAGCTTGATTATAATCCTTTAAATAGCAGATTAAATGTCTGAGTTTATACGAAATTTTGAATGCAAACTGCTTGTGATCAAAATTTTAATCTAATCAATCAATTTAAAGTAAAATTTAGCTGAATTTTTGAACCCTCAGAAGTTGCCATCTTATGAATTGTCGGCATACCTAGCGTCCCATCATGGAGATAATTGTTTCAGAAATGAGCTGCTGAAGACAGCTTTTTTCACATGCGAGTTAAGACAGTGCGTTTTTGTCTTCGGGAGGTCGCAAGTAGACGACTTCTCTTAAAAAAAAAAATTTGACAAATAAAATTTTATTTCAAAAAGCATACGAAAATCAAATTTACAAACTTATGCTTACGTTCGCCATTGCGCAAAAAAATGAAGAATCAGTTTTTCGGTGGTAAAAATGCGTCATTTTTTGCACTTGATCTTCTTTTTTTAATTGGTGCCCTTTCGAAGCGTTGTAGATGAGTTTTTGAACGAAAACGTCTTATTTCTGACCACACCAGTTGCTGCCGCATCTCTTTTGGATTCATTAGTGAAAGGGAAATAGGACTTCTTGATTCGGGGCTGATTTTATGTACTTGGATCGGAATTAAAGGCATAGTTTGTCAATTTTCTTTTTTTCCTTTAAATTGGGCGATTGCATTTTATTTCAATTTCCTCGAGGATGTGGTCTTATGAATAGTTCAATTCCCCTTTTTCAAAAACTAGTGAGAGTTAATTTTCAAGTGCTGCAATTTCGCAGCTTGTTTCATAATCCTTTGTTAATCCGAGGTTTTCAAATAATTTTGAGGAAGAGGAAAGAAACATCCAGACCGCTTGAATCAGCTATTTTTTGAAACATTTGAATGGCCGTCTGCTGTATATCCAGCAATTTTTAAGGGCCTTATATTTGGGGCTAGTGCTTTTAGAGCTCTGAAGAAACGGTGATAATTATCTTCCCATTTAGTTGGTCAGAACGCATATATGCAAGCAAGGGCTAATCCTGAAAGACTTGCATGTATAGAATAAAATTGATAATTATATATTCAAGTGTGACTATGGGTTCTTTAAGCCAACCAAAAGGTTGAGTTTACCAGCACACCTAGCATTGCAGGGTGGTCGATTTGAAGAATTCTATCGTGATCTTTTTTTCTACTCTCAAATCTTGAAAAATTGTCAAAAATTTCTG